TTTTGCTTCTCTAATTTCATATGGCGCTGTGCTCTCAAGGAAAAAAAAAAACTTTTAACTCTTTATTTTGATGCTGCAATCAACAGAAACATACTCGAGAAGAGAATGTAAAGTATAAACAGAAACAAAGTGAAACAGAACTAGTTCATGTGCCCATGTATATTTCTAGAATTATCTGCCACTCTGCTACTCATCTATATGGTTATACATTCTTATAATATAAAAATGAAATTACATGAGGTCAAATGCCAATAGACGAAAAACTAGTTATAAAAGTCATGAGAGTTGTATCATTCGTATTTCTTTTGGCAGACTCATCAAAAAAGTAAAAATGATTGTTATTCTGTTCTCATAGTCACCAAGCTAAAGAAATTTTTAACTGTATGTGGCAGGGAAACGTTTGTGAATACTTTCATGTTGCAAATAGCAGTTTTGTCAAATCATCTTAATGGAAGAGATACTCATGTGCGCCAAATCAAAGTTTATGGACCCCGACCGTGCGTAAAGATGTTTCCTTATTTAGCCTCTTTACTATTAATATTTTATTATTCAGTTGACAAATATGATTATATTTTTCGTAACAGGAATCCTTTTCCACGCCAACCATTTCAGTTCACTTCTACAGAGTTCATTACTTACTCTACTGTGAGATGAAGTCGAGTACATTCTCTTATCTGAAATGAGGATATTCAAAACAAATAACTTATTATATGTACCCTTTATCATTTCTAAAAGGTATTTGAGCCAGAATACATGTGAAGGTACAATGTTGCATTGATTGCTTGCAGCATATTTGTCGTAGATAAAACAATGATACAACGTAAGATGTGGAACTCGTCATTTGTTTCTATCTGTAAAGTGCTGCCATGCTTGTTTACAATATTCTCGTGCTTCAAAATGTCGATTTTAGCAGTTCATGGCTTTTATGATTGAACTATGGCGATTTTATCTAAATAATGATATTTCAAATGGGTGAGGATTATCTTATAATAATTTGAGAATGAAAACTCTAGGCAGATAAATGATCAAGAAATTTAAAGCTGAAATGATAATCCAATTAACCATCCAAGAGTACCTAAAATATGGAGCTTACATAACATTTGTTATAACTGAGCTGCTAATAGATAAACTACTTCCTGCACAGAAAATGGACTATGCTGACAGAAAATGGCATCTTCATGGGCAGTGATAAAATATCTGTCGAAAGAATTCGTGCTGTACAGTCTCATCAATTACCAGATAACTAAAAGTACAAGGAAAAGTCTAAGTGTACATAATTTGGCCACATAATGGTGTCCATAATATGAGGTGGACAAGATCTGACTGTTGATGTGAAAGTGTGAGATTTGAATTAAAGGTTGGATCCAGTGCCACGTGTAATTATGGACACCATTATGTACAAAATTATGTACATGTAGCAC